CTGAGCACGACTGTTTGAAGCCGCAAGACGTTAGTTTCGTCAGGGGAGGCAGTGGAATAGTGTCAAGGAAGGTTGTTGCTGCAGCAAGGTGGAGCGGTAGCGAAGGGAGTTAGTGCTGCGAGTTGGGACTACCTCAGACGAGTCTACTTCGGCAGACCGACTTCGGTTTGACCGAGCTGTTACTTGACCGCCATTGCGGGGCCATTAACACCAAGGTTTCAAGGCCCTCTCCTGAGAGTTGAGTTGTACCTCTCTTGGATCTCGAGTGTCTGAAAATTTCTCTCTCTATCTTTCTAAATCTAAGTCTAGTCTAGTCCTGAGAGGAAGGCGGCAGGCGGGATTGCAACCCGTAGGACCGCAGCAAGGCCTTGTGGAGGTTATCCCACCGATTGTGGGAGCTCCGCCGGAACTCAGAAGGAGTTTTGGAGGCGAGGAACCAAGAGGTAACCTTCCCTTTCCTTTTATATACCCAGTTATAACCCATATTTGTATTTCCTTTTATATTTTGACTGATTATACTGCGTGCATCCTGTATTTTGACTTTGATTTGACTTTCAGGATCTGAACTCAGACTAAGTAAAAGAATGTATGCGCAATCTCAGTTTCAGTTTTTTTGGTTGTGTGAAAGCAGATTTGTATCAGACAAGGGGTTGCATCTGGGGAAGGATGGGAGGAAGGTGGTTTTGCATGCTAATTTGATTGGGTCATTAAGGTTGGGGAGTCCCCATAAGTTTGGGGAACCCCAGTGCTTTGTTTTATTTTGGTCTTGCATGGAGAAGTCAGACCCTTCTATAAGTTTAGAGGGTCTGATTACTCTGGAGGCTGGGAAGTCCCTATAAGTTTGAGGAGACCCGGGCTGTGGTTTGCTTGGAGGGTTGGGCCGCTCTATAAGTTTAGGTGGTCTGACTGCTCTGGCTTGTGAGGGCTGGTTGTGGATGACTTTTCAGGGACCAAGTGCATTCTGTAAGTTCAGGTGTCTTGGTCGTCTTGCTTATTTTGGGTTTTCTTCAGTTTATTTGTTTTTTGAACGAGGAGGTCTGAGTTGTTCTATAAATTTAGGTGGCACAGTCTCTTCCTGCTTTATTCTGAGAAAATTAACTTGACAAAGGGCAGATTGTTCTGTAAATTCAGGTGATCTAGCCCAATGCCACACACAGAATGGATCAGAGAGAAATTAATCAGGCAGAGAGTCAGACTGTTCTGTAAGTTCAGGTGGTCTGACTCAAAGCCTCGCACATGCTGGAACCCAAAGGTTACAACTTGGCTATACTTTACTATTATTTTATTTAAGAACGAGGTAAATCAGACTATTCTATAAGTTTAGGTGGTCTAACTATAGTCTATCACAACTTGAAAAAAGTACAATTAAGAATAAGATTGATGGTAAGCTGGGGCAGATGTTAGCTCAGCCATATGCAACCTTAGAAGACAAAGGGAAGACAGATACATATAACTTGGATAACTTAAACAGTTTAGGGTGACTAGAATAGTCTAGTCATATGCCCAAAAGAAGAGAGAAGTAGTTGTGCCCTCTGTTTGTGTATATTCATTGGCAAAGTTAGGCTCATTCCATAAGTTTGGGTGGCCTGACTTTATGCCTTATGTAAGCTGGGAATAAAGAGTTAAGTTACCAAAGGATTATGAATTATTGTTTGCCCAAAATGAACTTGGAATGGTTGGAGTACTTACCTTTATGGTTTGGCCTGCGTGTGGCTGAATGAGGTTACCACTTGGTCTGAGTGTCAGTTTGATAGGTACTTGCTTTAGTTGCTCGGCACGTGCTAGAGCAATAGGAGTTAGTTTCAATTCCTGCATTTTCTGTGACAACTTTTTTTCACTTAGATCAACTCTCGCATTTTTTGAAATTTTTTCTTATACTTGGCTTTGTATAAATCTTGGCAAACTACTTTCTCTACGGGAAGCGCTGCCGAAATTTCTACAAATCCAAGGAATTGGTTAATTTTTGACTTGTCAAAGTCCGGCTTTGTCTTTTCTTAATATCTGACCGAGTAAAAATCTGGAAAGTCTCTTTTTTTAAAGGGAGTACTGTCTTAATTTTTGCTAATTCAGGGAGTTAGACAAAATTTGACTTTGAGAAGTCAAAGTTACTTTCAAATTCTGGACTTAGCCTTGTATAAATTTTAGAATATCACATTTCTAAAGGGAGTGCTGCCAAAATTTCTGCAAAACTAAGGAGTTAGTTAAATCTTGTCTAAAATTGAACTCGAATTGTCTTTTTGAGTTCATATTTGACTTAGTGTAAATCTGGGAAGTCTCCCTTTCTAAAGGGGGTGCTGCCCAAATTTCTACTAATTAAGGGAGTTAGACAGAATTTGACTTTCCAGAGTTAAAGATTATTTCTGCCTTCGTATTTGGACTTATATAAATGATGGAAAAACATTTTTCCTACGGGAAGCGCTGCCGAAATTTTCTTAGTTTAGAGGAGTTAGATTGTATGTTGACAGGTGGCGATTCTGGTAGTCCACTCTGGATAGGGGAGATTTTGCCATAAGTCTAACTTTCTTTGGGCGCTTGCTTAGAGGTAAGCTTAGATATAGTTCACTAGAATAATTTGGGTAAAATCATGATATGGAGATTGTTCTCCATAGACTTATAGGTTTAGCCTGGGGCATTGACCTGTCATGTGTTACAGGTCATCTTGATCGTTTGATTCAAGTTCGGGACTAGATCCATCTTGATCCCTTGAGGGTCTCATCTGTTATCACTGATAACAGGTCGGTTGCCGATTCGTCGGTTTACGACTCAATTTCAACTCACCCTCTGTACTCAACCTAAAAGGCTTTAGCCCTGGTGATTTCATTGTTTCATTAAGGTTTCATCCGGACTTTTATTGAATGGTCATTTAACAGAAGTACTGAGTATTTAATTATGGTTGGTTGGACACGAGGTTGGGGCTTGCATGGCTAAAGCGAGGGGTCTGAGTGTTGGGGATGGTTAGGGTTGACTCCGTGTGGTGCGTGGACCGTTGTTTGACACTTTGATGTGATTACAGGTATGTGTTGTGGCTTAGATTCTGGATTTGATTGCCTGCAGTTACATATATACATATGGTTGTGAGGAACCTTACTCAGACTGTGAAAAGTGATCGTCACATACTTACCCATTTACATATGCATACATGGGTGTACCTTGGATGAATGTTTGCATGGCCTAAGGGGCCCCGTGCTAAAAGCCTGCTGAGAGGTTTAGACTGAGAGGCATGGGGAAGACCCTTATTTTTACTTGTTTGCTTCTTGGGGGGTTTTCTTAGTCGGACGTTGGTCCTGGGCCGGGATTCAAAGTCCTTGTCCAGGACATCCCAAGCCCTAGACTCCGTAGGGGAGGGATTCCCCCTCGCGCAGGGCCTATCTGGACTGCCCGTCGAGGCACCCCACCCTGAAGGCGGAAATGTCGCGAGGGCCGAACGGCATGTCCTTCAGCCGTTCAATATCGTGTGGGGTAACCCCTCACGATATATTCCTTCAGCCATTCAATATCGTGAGGTCGGAGCCGCGATTACCACGTATGACTGGCATCGTTGGTTGGTATGAGACTGGCCTGCAGCTGCGCGAGTTAATATTAGAATCCCCCGCGCGAAGTTTCGTCGTCCTAGCGTCTAAAAGTTATGGGATCAAAGGGACCCCCACATATGCACGAACGCTTGGGATTACTAAAGGTCGCTGGCACCACCCGAAAAGGGGAGGGTACCCCAAGGTCATGTTTTCTTTTGGAATAAGGGAACCTTCAACCTATTTTTTCTTGCTTTTTAGAGATTTTTATGGTTGGACATTGTAGTCCGTGGCAGCCGTCAAAGTCAAACCCCTTGACTTTTGTCGAGGCCCGAAGTGGGGCCCATCTCCAGGGCAGTAAGAAATGACTGTCACCACAGGTATGGACCTGTGTACCACCCACTCTGCACAGGGTGCAGAAGAGGGTGTGTGGTCTTCAACCGCGCATGGCGGTTGTCCAGCGTCGAGAGATTAACCCTCAAAGCGCGTGTCATCCGACACTTGAGTGCCGAATGCGACCCTCGAGATTAACGAGGACCGCATGAGTATGGGTACTACATAGTACGCCATCATTGCGACAACTTGCGTACGCTTGCATTGCGAGTCGATATGAGTTAGCCCTGCGCCCACGCGGTTTTTATATCAAGTCTCGCGCGCGACACCTATCCGAACTCCGCGTCGGAAAATTATGGGATGGCTACCGTGGGGCTAGGAGCGTTGTCGCGTTGTTCGGTGTGTGTGTGTGTGTGTGTGTGTGTGTGTGTGTGTGTGTGTGTTTTCGTAAAGTGGTGTGCGCGTGGTGTGTGGGATGCGTCCTAGTCGACCGACGTCGAGTCGCGCTTGGGAGCTCAGCCCCCCAAGATGTCGGTTCGCGTGCGGGTCCGATAAAGGCGTATTACCGCGCGTACACCCTATGCTACAGCGAACGAGAAACGCCCTCGGCTGGTCCACCTCTGCGATTGCAACTGATTAGCTTTCGTATTGTGGACTGGTAGCTCGGCGGGGATACGCCCACCAAAGGGAGGTGACAGCTCCCGTAAGGTGGAGGTAAGTCGTGCCTCGCGTAGGCACTATCCTGTCGTAGGGGCTCGCGAGAGGTATGGATGGCGCACTCGGTCGGAGCGGCTTGCGGAAGCTCTATATATATTTGCGATGAGGATTTAGACCAACTCCTGCGTGACGAGGCTGGGAGGGTCACGCGCTGCCCTGTGCGATGTCGGACCAATGGGCTCGGCAGGTGGCGCCGTTGCCGGGGATAACGGAAGCCTACCGTTGTTCCTGGTGGAACGACATCCGGGTATGAGATTGAATGGGAATAGGCATAAAGGAATGACGAGAGGGTAGGGAAAATAATGAGTGATTAAGTGTAGGTAAGGGAAACTTAGTAACTTTATATGTTCGTTTGTTTGCCTACCTAATCTAGGAAGACTATGAGGGACGGTCGTATCCGCTTCAGGTAAAGATTATGAGGAAGTTAGATAGGGGCAACGGGATAGACCCTGTTGAGGTAGAATGCTGAATAGGTGAGTGTCCTTGTTCTTCTTCTGACAGGAAGCTTGAAAATAGAGGTCTGTCAAGATGCCTGAGAGTGGCGGTGTATCGGATGGCGCCAGGAAGATCCTGACGCTTGAGGACCTTATTGCGGCCATTGACCGGCATGAGAAGACTCCAAGCAATGTCCCAAAGGTTGATACCTTTCATTTCAATGGAGAAAGAGTTTCGGACTGGTTGGATCTGGTGGAGCAAGCAATGGTAGGATGGTCTGATGCGGTGAAGTTCCTGCAAATTCTGAGATACGTGCTTCATGGGCATCATCAAGAAGTGGGGAAGGTTATGGACGCCGCCCACGGTAGCTGGGCGAGGTTCAGAGAGGGAATGCAGCGCAAGTACCGGTTGGGAGATGGGTTGCTGACCACCGCGGACCTTGAGGCAATGAATAAAGATAACTTCACTACGATAGGGGCCTTTGTGCACGAATTCAAGAAAAGGGCGAGGAAGGTCCACGGGATCTCGGAGGAGGCGCAATGTGCTATCTTTTTGGGACTACTTACTGCGTCTGAGGCCTCCGAGTTGACGAGTCATGGAGGAGGCAGCGCCAAGCTCACCTGGGCCACCATTGACAAGGGGGTGGAGGATGGAAGCCTAGACCACGTAGAGCAACACCAGGTGCGGCTACAAAGACAGAAGAGGAAGGAAAGGAATGCTACGGCGTCCGGGACACCGGGGATGAGAAAGATTATCACCGACATACTAACAGAGTTAGACCCGGTAATACAAAGGAAGGTGACGACGGCGATTCAAGGAAAGGCCAAGGAGGCCATGGTGGAGGAGGCTACCTAGAAAGGTTGGGAAGAAGAGGAGCCGGTACCTCCGCACCTCTCGAAGGTGCAGCGTAAGCAGCGCAATCTAGGGCAAGGGGGTCAAGGTTCAGGGAAGGGCCAGGTGCCCCAAGTAGTAGTAGCTGCCTCCCCGAGTGCGTCGGCACGTTCGAGTAGTGCAGGTCCCTCGCAGGCACCGGTACCACCTTTCGGGCAATGGCCATGGCCCATAATCAACACCTATGTGCCTTGGGGAGGGTCGGCGCCTTCTGGACAGGTGATACCCTATGCCGGGCCGCAGACAAGTATGTCGCCCCCCATCTACCCTGCAGCCCAGGCCCAGCCCATGGCCCAGCCGCCATCGCCCGCCCCCAGTTCACAAGGGAGCGTGGCTGGAGGTGGGAACGAGGGCCAGGGCAATCAAGGTAATGGAGGAAGGGGTGGTGGAAGAGGAAGAGGTAGGAATGGCGGCGGTCGAGGGGGACAATGGAATGGCCAAGGCCAGGGGAATCAAGGAGGTCGATGGGGCAATCAAGGAAACCAAGGTAGCCAAGGGGGCCAGGGTGGTCGAAGGACCCGTTTTGATTAGAGGACCGCTATATGCCAGCATTGTGACCAGCAAGGTCACACTATATGGTTCTGCAATATAAGGCGGGAAGATGAGAGAAAAGGGATGATCTATTCTAATATGGATAGAGACATATATGATCAGTTTGGGGAGTTTATTGATAGAAAGATAGGTGGAGTAATGGCGGAAGCCCAGTGAAGATTGGCAGCGTAACGACCACCTCCTGCCACGTTTAGGTTGTGGCAGGAAAGAGAGGACCCACCAATTACAATAGAGGAAGTGGGAAGTGATGAGGAGGTAACTCAGAGACTATGGGAAGAAGATATAAGGGAGGAACCAATAGTCGTTGAGTCCGAGGACGAGAATGAGGAGGAAAGGGTAGAACCTCCATCAGTTTTGTTGGAAAAAATGGAGGACCTATTGGGAAAGCTGGGAAGGTACCAACAGAAGTTGGTAGACCTCTGCGATGGAGTGAGGGAATGGAGAACAGGTATCCCCAAGGTATTCCTTTACGATTCCAGTCTGGAATCGATGCCCGGGCGGCCCGAGGTGAATGTAGTGGGATCAGGCCCGCGATCCGAAATGATGACGAGACCTCCCACACCGCAGGAAAGGCAGGCACAAGCGGCACGAACGCAAGGACAGACCAAGGTCAGTGCGAGCCAAGAACCTCCTTGACGAGAGTCTGAGCCAGGGAAAAGGAAGGAGGCAGTGGAGGTAGAGGATGACGATGATGAAGAGGAAGAAGACGAGAGGCTGCGTCAGGAAGAGGACCAAAGGGTGGAGCAAAGGGCAAAGAAAAGAGAAGCCAGGGAAGAAGCCGGGCCGGTCCTGCGTGATGGACCGCCCAAGAGAAAGAAGTTACGGCTCGGCTGGAAGAGAGGTTCGACGTAGAAAAGGTAATTGACCGGTTGTTGGAAGGCCATAATGACCTCATGACCTTGAAGGAGATTTTAGCGTCAGCCCCCAAGCTCCGCGATGGTCTGAAGGGGAGATTGTCAAGGCGTCTGGTGCCTAACGTCCATCTAGGTACGATCCTGCCAAAAGAGGCGGAGTGGGCAGAATCAGGTACAAAGATGGATTGGAAGTGTGTGGTCTGTGGCACGGTAGACTTGGTGGTGAAAGGCTCCAAGAGTACAGCAATGGTGGACACAGGAGCCGAAATGAATATTATTAGGGAAGCAGACGCAATCAGGTTCGGGTTGGATATAGACCGATCTGATTGCGGTATTCTGCATGGGGCCAGCTGCAAGGCCGTGTTTTGTGGGACAACCTCGAATGTGCTCATCAAGGTTGGGAAAGTGAAGGTCGGGGCATGCTTCTTCATTATGCCGGATGTAGATCATGAGATCCTCTTGGGGAGGTCGTTCTTGAGCAGGATAGAGACAGTGATTTTCAACAAGCATGATGGGACTTTGATCCTCGTCCTGTGTGACCCTGCCTGCGGGAACTATGAGGTAATTACCTGCAGAAATACAGGGCCAAGAAGCATAAGGAACCGGCCCAATCAGAGATCTTTCACGATTGAGGAGTCAGAGGGCGAGCGTCGGAGGCTCCTGGCAGAGCCGGAAGAGGAGGAGAGAATCGAGGCATTCTCCCTCAGCTTGTCAGATGTGAGTAAGGTCATAGACATAGTGGCCGCGCATGAGATGACAGATCCAGATGCCATCCAGGCATTGAGGGAGCAGGTCCTGGATTGTCCCAAGGTGGGGAGATTGGAGTTGGTATACCGGCTTCCAGATGGCAGGAGGAATCCGGCGATGGTACAAGCACAAGTAGTGAGCCAACCTTTTTTAGGGGACGGCTCAAACAGGGCTTTCAAAGGCGGTACAAGACAGTAGATAAGAAGTGTTGCCCGGTTCCCGTCCTCGTTACGGAAGATGAAGGAGTATATTATGAGAGGGAGCGAGGGTTGATACGGCGGATGAAGGAGAGAGTCTCAGCAGAGCCGTGCCGTGTCAATGAAGGGAACGGAAATAAGTTGATAATAGGGGAGGCTGACTTCTTTTTACCTCAGGAACTGGCATTAATGGTGTAATTAATGAAAAAGAGGCATCGCGCCTATGCATTTAGTGACGAGGAGCGCGGCAGGTTGGATGTGGATAAGATACCTGTGATCCGCATCCATACCGTGCCACACGAACCGTGGAACCTAAGAGGGGCGCGATATCCTAATCCTGACGAGGAAAAGAAGTTGGTGGACTACCTCGATGGCAAGATACGTACGCATGTCGCCAACTTCTCGAGTGGGCCGTACGCGTCCCCATGGTTTTGTTTTATCAAGCCTAACGGGACGCTGCGGTGGGTGCAAGCTTTACAAAGGCTAAATGCGGTGACTGTGCGAGATGCAGGAGGGTTGCCCAACGCAGACGCGCTGTTAGAATCCTGTGCTGGAAGGCCTAAAATCTCGCTTATAGACCTTTACTTTGGATATCACCAATTTCCGGTTTATCCGCCAGACAGGCTAGTGAAAGCTATGCATACGCCTCGAGGATTAATCCATATGAATGTGACTCCGCAAGGGTGGACCAATGCACTAGCGATGGTCCAACGGGCCATGATTCAGGCTATGCAGTCAGTCAGCCCACATATCACTCAGCCATATATTGATGATTTGGCAGTGAAAGGGGCGGCAGTAAAGGAGAGTGACAAAGTCTTGCCAGGGGTGAGACGTTTTGTCTAGAAGCATATCCAGGACCTTGAGAAGGTCCTGAGTCCGCTTGAAGAGCATAATCTCACGGCAAGTGGGGCCAAATCCAGACATTGTATGAGGGAAGCAACGATCTTGGAGTTCGTCTGCAGTGAGAAAGGCCGACGGCCGGATTTAAAGAAGACTGACAAGATTACTAAGTGGCCGGTACCATTCCGCTCGATAACGGATGTTAGAAGCTTCCTTGGTACGTGCGGGTTCTGGAGGGCCTTCGTCAAAAATTTTGCTGCAAAGACTGAACATTTGAGAAAGTTGGTTCGTCAGGATCCGGAATGGGTTTGGGGCGAAGAACAAGAGGAAGTGGTAGCGAGAATGAAGAAGGAATTTCGAGAAGGAGGGTTGGTGTTGGGAGCGCCATATTATGACGCCACGGAGACAAGACCCTTCATCGTCGAAACGGATGTTGGACCAACTGCCTTAGGTGGAGTCCTAATTCAGGCAGACACATAAGGGAAGGAAAGACCTTTGAGATTTAAGAGTCGAACTCTTTGCACGACTGAGAGGAATTACTCTCAGTTCAAGAGAGAGTCCCTTGTCGTCCTTCACTGTCTGCGAATCTTTCGAAATTATATCTTTGGCAAGAGATTTATATTGAGGGTGGATCCGACTGCCCTGGCCTATTCTCTAAGGAATTACGTTCCATCAGATCCAACGGTTGTCAGGTGGTTGACGTACATCTGGATGTTTAACTTCGAATTGGAACGGATTCCTGGGAACAAGAACCGGGCAGACGGACTGAGTCGTATCAACTGGGATAGGCAAGAAGGAGAGGCGGTGGAGAACACGCCCCCAGTTGATGGATTTTTGGATCAAGAGGAAGATGTCCTCCTCCACATTAACAAGTGGTCCCCGCGAGTGCCTAGTTGTGTGGGTCATCCGATCTGGCAAGCGCCAAGTGGGTATGAACGGAAGGCGGAGCTAGTTCTTAAACCCTTTGAAGAGGAAGATCCATGGGGAGGTAAAAATGTCCAGTGGATGATGAAGTTAGCATTGGCTGGATCGCATAGCTTAGTGGAAGACATGAGGATGATAGAGGAAGGACCATATCAGATAGAAAGGCACGAGGAATTGATGGGGGGAATGTACCTCCTCGTCAATACACTACTGCAGGAAGGCTTTGGTCAGACAGGCTCGCTGAATCCGGCTAAGAATGAGGACGTGGTGTCGGAGAGCCAGGACGACGAGTTTGAGGAAGGGAAGATCAAAGAAGCTTTCCATGCAGAGGAGTATGAGGGAATCGATCTAGAACTGGGGCTTCTTCTATCGTGTGAAATGCGGCTTAGAGATGCGAGCGATAGGGCTTAAAGAATGATGCAGCGCTACTTGGTAAGGGATGGTCACCTGTTCGTAAAGAGAGAAGTGAGAAATCCCAAGAGAGTCGTTTGTGGCAGGAATCATCAGATTGACGTTATAGCAGCACTTCATGATGGTATTGCAGGAGGGCATCGAGGGGTGAGTGTCACATACACCAAAATAAGTGAGTTATATTACTGGGATGGAATGATGGACATGATTGGGAAGTTTTGTCGATCTTACGTTCCCTGTCAAGAGAGATCTCGTCTAAGGCCAGGGGAGCCGTTGCATCCAAGGCTAGAACGAGAAGTGGGGGCCGTAATGCATCTCGACCTACTCTTTATGCCACTGGGGGATCAGGACTATAACTACATCTTCGATGCGCGTGATAACCTCTCTGGCTTCGTAGATGGACGTGCCATTCTTACAAAGGCTTGGCCAGTCTTGGTTAGCTGCATCGAAGAGTATTATCTGCGCTACCCTTTTGTCAGAGAATTCGTAATGGACAGGGGATCGGAGTTCACCTGCCAGGAGGTGCAAGAGTTGTTATCAAGGTATGGTGTAATAGCCAACTACACCACGGCTGCGCATCCCCAGGCAAACGCTCCGGTGGAAAGGGGACATAGTACCATTACGAGCCTTCTGGCTAAGTGGACCGAAGGAAGGCCTAATCAGTGACCAAGATACCGGAGGGCGACATTCTTTGTCGAGAACATTACAATAAAGAGGACCACTAAATACGCGCCAGCTACGCTATGGTATGGGAGGCATGCCACCTTTCCAATTGAGAGCTTTCTTAAGACATGGAGACTTCAGGATCTCGAAGTCAACCTGTCCTTTGAAGAGTTACTCGATATCCGAGCGCGTCAGGTGGGTGCAATAGAAGAAAGAATTCAGGAGGCGTCTGATCAGGTGGAAAGGAGCCGCATGGATGATAAGGCTCGCTGGGATCAGTCAGCGCGAGTGAGGAAAGTACCTTTGGTGGTTGGGGATGTTGTGCTCCTATACGACTCGTCCCTGGAAAAACAGTAGTCCAGGAAGCTCGATAAGAGGTGGTTGGGCCCCTACCGGATCGTGCGATGTGGAGACTTTGGAGCATACCAAATCGAGGAGTTAAATGAGACTGAATGGAAAGACTGGGTGTCTGGAACGAGACTAAAGACGTTTGTGGCGAAAGAGGAGGTAAGAAACACGATCTGACTTCCCTTAGAATAAAGGTGATAGGATGTGTAGATTGGATAGGTTGCATGTTGCATGATTTTGGCTTGACATGAGCTTACCTTGATTACCACCTGTTTGCTTACCCCAACGTGTGCTTGATTGTCTCTTTCGCCTGTTGTGCAGGTCTGACTTTACGAAGACAGTCGTGCCAAGAGGAGGGAGGGGGACACGGCCGCCACGGAGGCCGTTGGGAGCATCAGGAGGATATGAGCAGTATGGGTCTCGCCACCGGGAGAGCACTCCCGTATATGATGATGGGGACATCGAACTGTTCCTGGATAGTTTCTGGGGGTATGCTGAGCGCATGGGCTGGACCACGACCCAGGCGATCGAGAGGTTGAGGGGAGCCGGCAGGTTCGCGGAGCTCATTGCCCAGATCCGTAGGGAAGCGATGACGAGGTCAGAAGTGGAGATGAGTATACAGGAGCTACGATCCTCGTCTTTGGGGCCCCATGGCAGGCCGATCCGCCTGGAGATCGGCAATGCAGAGACATTTATCCCCGCTTTCGAGTGGTTCATGCAGGGGCAGGGTATACCGAGAGATGACCGGGGGAGGACGCTACCTCTTTGGACCAGCAACGCGGAGAGGCCATTAGCCAGGCAGATCGGAGATATGGCTCGAGACTGGGAGAGCTGCAGAGCGCACTTGAGAGAGGCTTTTCGAAGGCCAGAGCCACCTCAGCCCAGAGTCGAGAGACGTCAGAGGAGCAGGAGGCAGAGGGACCCTGAACCTAGCGAGGCCAGACCGTCTCGAGGGGGACAGAAGGCACTCGCCCGGAGAGAGGAGGAGTCGGCGCCTGAGGCTGAGAGACGAGGGGCGTATCCTGAGTGTGGGTTGGGACCAGTGGCGTTCCATCGTTTTACTAAGGGTGAGTTGGGGAGGCCTCCATTGCACACACCGGAGGAGACGCCAACAGCTGAGGAGCCGCTGAGAGAGTTTGAGGCGCATCTGGACATCTCTCGGTGGAGAGTGTCGCCTCGAGGCGAGGAGCGTGGAGGACAGGCTGAGGAGGAGCCACGAGAGGAGATGCCTCGAGAAGACGTGCCACGAGAGGAGGTCCGAGATGCTCAGAGAGAGAGGAGAGTGGGTGATGAGGGGAGATGTGGAGGGAAGGAAGTGATAGAGGTTGGAGAGGACACACCCCCTCGGACGCCAGTTGTGGGGTTGAGGCTTGGAGATCTGCCAGGGAGCGCGCGCGAGAGAGCAGAGGAGTCGCAGAGAGAGGAGGACCCGTTGCCTTCATCAGAGATGGCTCCCTCGCCAGGAAGAAGGGCAGAGAAGGAAGGAGAAACTGCAAGTGTGAGGGGAGAGGACCTGACCTTGATTGACAGGTACTTAGCAGCACATGCCTTGGAGCATCCAGACCTGGAGGAGCCAGCACCCGTAGAGTCACGCAAGGAGCCGTGCCAGCCTGAGAGAGAGATGGAGGCAGAAATCCCAGGGAGGGCAAACCATCGTAAGAGAGACGGCGCCAACGGGGGAAACAACTGAAGAAAAGAGGGCAAGAAGAAACAGGAGACTGGAAGAGATATGGCAGGAAAGGCAGAGATTGGAGGATGCAGGGGCACTTTCGGAATAGCAGTCGGAAAGGCAGAGATTGGAGGCGGCAGGGGCACTTCCGGAACAGCAGCCCAGCGCGCCACCTAAAGCCCCCGAAATTCCGGAGATGTGGAGGGACTTTTGGGAGCAAACAGGAGAGAAGCTTCCTTCGCCAACAAGAGTCGGGTTTGGGGTAGCAAGGAAAGCGGAAGAGAGGCTGGATCGCAAGATAAGTGTCAGGCCAAGACAACTTTTGACCGGTACTTGTTGTTGAAGAGCGATCTGGCAGGGAAGAAGACGAAGGCAGAGGGCTATGGACTACGCCTGGAGACGATGGAGGTAGAGATCCAGGAGCTTAGGACTCTGGTGGCTAGTCAGGCTGCCATTATTGAGGACTTGAGGCAGCAACTTCAAGGGAGAGCGGACAAGGCCAAGAGCAGCCAACAGGGAGAGCAGAGGCAGTCGGGACATGGGTTGTCGGACAGCCATCTGTAGCAGAGCCTCGCCAGGAGCCACCTATGGGGAGAGTTATCCTGGAACCAGAGGAGGCGAGAGCCTAGAGGGAGGCAGAGAGAGCGGCCTTCGAGTTCAGAGCCCCTACTGAACTCGCGACGTTATCTATAGTAGCGGCGGGCCCAGTCATGCCATTGGCAATTGAGGAGGGGCTACCACCGTCCAGAAGTGAGTCAGCTCAGGGCTCAGCGGAGGGATCCATGGACGTGCTCCTTGAGGCAGTGCATAATATGCAGGAGGAGGCAAGTTGGTTTTCGCCTGAACAGAGGATAGAGGAGCCTCTTGAGAGAGAGATGGGGATTGAGACAGAGGGTGTCATTGAGGGCAGACCCCAGAGGTTGCATACGTCTGAGTATGGGCCAGAGGGGGTTGGGATTCGGCCAGGGCCGAGTACCTAGGAGTTGGAGACAAGACCAGGGGAGCTTTTAGATGTGCCTCGGAGTCATGAGCTGAGCAGAGATGCTAGCAAAACGCCTTCGTCACCAGGGTCACAGAGAGAGAAGAAAAGATCAAAAAAGTGGTTTGATGCATCCTGCTTTTTCTGTAAGAAAGAAGAGCATCGGGCCCTTCAGTATCCCTTGTTCCTTAAGGATAAGGCAGCAGGACGAGCCACAGAAAGGGAAGGGAAGATATATGATAGACAGGGTCGAGTAGTGAAAAGGACTCCGGATGGGGGTAGGGCTCAGTTGTACAGGCAAAACCAGGAGGAGATGAGTGAGTAGGGACTAGTTCACCTAGACATCAGTAAGGCTAAAGACTCCCTGTACATGGAAGCTAGATTTAGTCATGTACATATTCGGACTTGATCATGAGTAGCCTGTTCACCTGTACATATACAGATTGTAGTGATGGACAGATCATTGAGTTCTTTTTATTGAGATTTATGTGGTAGTATTCAGTTATGTGATATATCAGTGTGTACAGTTGTAGTATAATTTGTGCGATTTGAGTTCTCCTGTGTGTTTGGAGATATCTTGAAATTTTTTGTACACCTGAGACATGAGTTACTCAACAGAATGAGACATGAGGGTTGGGTATCTATATTGTTTTTTAGAGAGACAGACATTATTTCTGAGTGTATATTGAGTTGAGACCGTATGGGGATTGATTTTGTGACGATCACTATCACTCTCACTTGTGTGGATTTATCATGATGTATAATGATTTTGTGTGAGAGATGTTCATGATGCATCTCATGTTAACGGATGTGAGTTATGTGAAGTTGTCTACTCTTCGGTATACTCGTGCGGCCTGCTCACGGGCAGGTGATAGGGCAGAGTATAAGGAGAGGGAGCGCAGTCTGGTTGAGAATGATCGTAAGAATCATAAGGGTGTGGGTCTTTGAGACTCGAATGCTTTACCATGCCTGTTGTTGATTGCTTAAGTCGCGACGAGGACCCATAAAATGATCTCTCAATGATGTTTGCTTCATAATAAGGCCCCCTTAGATTTTTGGAAAAAGGGGGATGTTTGGCTTTATGATGAGACCCCTCATAATTTTTTGGAAGAGCGGGTGTTTTGTTCTATAATGAGACCCCTCGTGATTTTTGGAAGAGGGGGTGTTTTGCTTCATGGTGAGATCCCCTTGGATTTTTGGAAAAAATTATAATTTTAGGTTGTTGGAAGACTCACCTCCAAAGGTGGGTGAACTGATTAATGGCATGGTAAGTTGTCTGATGAGTGATAAATCTGACGAAAAGGGTAACGTTTGCTTGGAATGTTTGAGAATGTCGTAATGAGGGCAGGACGAGAGATGTCTCAGGATGGGTGGTTGCTGGCTTTGATCAAGTCAGGGGTCACGACCTTGTGGACCTAGTGGTGATTTTGTTTGTAATTGTGCGAAGGATGCCATCCCTTTTGAGGGAGAGCTGGTAAATGCCTTCAGACCCCTGCGTAATCTCGCAGTGGGCCCGTGATTTTGTTTTGTGACGCCCCGTCTGACCACTTGTGCTAGTTCTGAGACATATTGAAGGAAGGCCAAGCTAACGGAAAAAGGAGTTTAGCGCCACTAGGGCGTAACCCCAGTGGATGGCTGCTAGCCGGCGCAATCCGGCTGCGGGACTGCAGAGTAAGAGTTTACGGGGAGTTGCCCGCCCCAGGGAAATTGCTTCACGGGGTAAGAGTCAAGTCTTTTTGGAAGCCCTGATTGGATAGTTATCAGGGGAAAGCCTATCGTTGCGCAACCAGCGAGGGTACTACCGCTAAATAACAACGTGGTGGGCCGTAGTCCTGGTCTGATCAGCAAGGCTATGGTGGACCAAGATGGAGATCTGGCCTTTCTGTACTACACTGCAGGAAGAACCGAGTATAGATTATGTATATATATACATATATGTATTTGATTGTGAGGAACCTCTTGGAAAGGAAGGCGAGTGTGTCTTCAAAGGTCTCGGTTAGGGCCCGCGTCCCTAGTTTTGGCCAAGACTAGGGACACCCAACGAGAAGCCGAAGGTTGTCTAGGGTCAGGGTGAGAGGATAATTAGGAAGGCCTTTGAAACTTATGCTGTCAGCATCTTATTGACAGCGGCGATGAGGACCCGGATTGAAACCCTGGCACCATATAGTTGCAAAGGCATGGTTTAATGGAAGCCTCCACCTCGGGTCTGTTGGCTAATCGGATTGGTCTCTCTTTCGTCAGCACTTTGACTAATCTGATAGATTTTCGGATCTTGCGAAGCGACGAGGGAGTCGCTTAATATGGTCCGATAAGCGACAGGGACGTCGCTTATTATAGTCTGGTAAGCTGTCGGTGCGAATACCCTTACAAGGGTACTCGCATTGAGTTTTTGCAAGTGACAAAGAAGTGGGTCAATTCATAATTAATGGGAAGACCCTGCGATTCGCAGGGGTTCGTGGACTAAAGATTCGGCGGTAACGTCTAGGATTAGAGAGTGTGTGGGCGCGCAGGTTTGACGCGCGCACAATTTTTCTCTCTTTTATCACAATGGAAGACGTGGCGTGGATTCCGGTCGACGTGCTTTATTATAATAGTTGTTTTGTTTTGATTAAACTGACTAACATATGGGCGCTCTTTTCTCTGGTTTCACGTGGTACGTTGGACGGAGCCTGTGTGGACTTACGCGGAATCCAGATGATGGGACCTGATGGATTCGGTTAGGAAAGGGTAGCCGCGGCACGGTAGGTAAGCCGACGCAGATTTTTCGGTGGTTTTTTGTGCGAATACGGGCCGGGAAGTGGCATGGGGCAGTTCATTGTTAGGAGATTCGAGCCCGCTGGTACCAGGTTCGGGCTTAGCCCTATAGGTTACAGCATCGGACTGGTACGCAGCAGATGCAGGGATCAAGGCGAACACCATGCAGTGAAAGAGCAGAGCGCGACGAAAAGGCTTAAGCGGTTGATGGTCTTATAAGACTATCCCCCTCGCCTTTTGCTATCACAGGGGCCGAGAGGAGTGTCGTGGTCTCATCCCGACTACGGCTCGTATATATATATATATATATATATATATATATATATATATATATATATATATATATATATATATATATATATATATAA